ATAGACTTTTGAAAATTTATGTTTGTAAAGTAGCAATAAGCTATATTTCTTGTGCATCTCTCACTATTCAGTTCCGCTTTTTCTTATTTTCCAAATGCTGAAATACATTCAAAGAGATTTATCTTTTTGCATCATACAAAATTTATTATCTTATTCTTCCAACTTAAAAAGAAATTTAGTCACAAAAATCTCAAGATAAAGAGCCTGGTGTTAATCCCTAGAATTGTCTCTTCAGATTAACTAGGTAGGCTGTAAGTATCTCAAGCACAGGGGTAATATCTCACTCTACTCAAAAAGCCTGGAACATTGCAGGTCCTCCGTAAACAGTCCATGGAGCAAAGGAAAAATCTTGAAGTCCATTTTCTGTAGTTGCCAGCCTTCAAGTATTTTAGCTCTGTAAAGTCTTGCATTTTTTCTTCACAGGAGACTAAAAGTATAACTGTGCATGCTGCTCATGTCAAACAATGCAAACTACAGTAAAATCAGAGAAAAATTCTCTTATTGAAGTTTTTATTTCTCTACTATGCTTTAGGTGGTTTAAAGGCGGAATAAAGTAAACATGTATTTTGAGTAAATAATTTTTATAAAAAGAAAACTGGCTTTAAATGACCTTGGACAAAAATACCTTACAATTTAAATGAAAACTAAGACTCTAGTCAAAGATTTAAAGTTGTTTAATCAGATACACTTTACCAGTTCCAAATGATTTTTTTTTTCCAAATGATTTTAAGAAGCACACAAACACAAACACCACCTACTTCATGTCATTCTCTATTCTACTTAAAAGTGTTTTCAGGGCCAGCGAGATAGCTCAACAGACTAAGCACCTACTTAGGCAAGCTTAGAGACTAGGGTTCCATCCCCAGCACGAGATGCAATGAGCCGGCCACCGAGACAGGGTGTAGTGGCACACACCTGTAGTTCCAACGTAGGGAGGCTGAAACACTACAAGTCTGAGCTGTGTAGTGAGACCCTGTACCACACACATCAATAAAGCACGTTTTTAAACATATACATATGAAGGCAAACACACCAGAAGTAAAATATGGGCTACAGAAGAACATTTTTTGTTTCCATTTTTTCTGTATCATCTGAAATGTTTTGAAAATGTTTTTTTTTTAGAATTGAGAGGAAAAACTTAAGGACAGAATGCTTAAAAGCTAGTCATTCATATTCATAAGAATTCTTGAAAGTTTATATTGATAAACTTTATATTGATTTATATTATTTATATTATTATATTCTTAAAAGCTACCATTCAGTAAAAAATTAGCAATTCTTTCCTTAGTGTGATTCTGACAATACAGAAATAAACACAGTTCATGAGAAACACATTTTATTATACTTATAAACTGACTGTATTTTAATACATACATAGAAAGATAGCACTGAAGGGCCCTACTCATCTCTTCTTACCTGATCTTGCCTGTTTTATTTCCAGATAGTATTTTCATTTACTATTAGACAAGTAAGAATCTCATGCGTACACTGCTTCTTCCCATGTCATTTGCTTATTCTCAGCCACTACAAATAATAGATGTTTTCTTCAATTTAACTTACCTAAATATCCATATACATATGGATATATATATATATATATATATATATATATAACTCTAGGCTACAAATTGTTATTCCTGATCAGGTTGATCTTGAATTCTTTGAAGAAAAAGAAATCTTCCTTCCTCTGAACTCTACTATACAGCATTTAATATTTAACTCTATGTTACTTACAAATCTTTAACACCCTGGTGTCCTTAAATCCCTGTAAGCTCCTCAGAACTACAGATACGTTATGTCTTATATGTGTGCAAATCCCATGAGTAACTGACAGAAGTTTTCTTCTATTATTTATAATGGTCAAAGAACATGCTGACTGAACTCACTGGCAAAAACTGAAGTGAAGATCTAAAAGAGGGAAATAATATAAAGGGTCTTAGCATCCAGTTCCCATTATTTTATACATTATGGTTTTTAAAATTTATCTGAATATAGACAGAATATTCAATATTAGTTGTACAAATAAATTGAAAACGGGATTTAATATGTGGTCTTCTAAGTCAATGATGGCAAACCTTTTAGAGACCCAGTGCCTAAACTGCAATCCAAATCCCACTTATTTATCCTGAAGTGCCAACACTGCAATTAAACCTGAATACAGAGGTTTTAGTTTAGAAAAAACAAGCTATATATTATCTTTTGTCTTAAAAGAAAAACACAATAACACATGTACCATAGACTCACCACCACTATTCTTAGTTCTAAGTTCCTAAGGAAAAAAATTACAGAAGCCGTTCGAACAAATACAGGAATTACAGTTTTGGCATTAAGAAAAGTATATTCTGATATATCAGAACAGGTGTTTATATTAATTTGTTGAAAAACAATTATAAGGAGACTAGACTGTGACTAAGAGTGATAAGGCTTATCAATATATGTAGGTGTAATAAAATAAAACTACTTTCTTATCTAATAAAACTACTTTCTTATCTGAAATTTAAATAAGAAATTCTGCTTTTGCATTTGTAGTGCCTTATCATGGTGCCTACAAAGAATGAGTGCTTAACCCAATGAATGAGTCAATGAACAACTGCCTGCTGGGTCAAGAGGCTTATATACTACAATCCAGTTTTAGGGAGGGTGGGGGAAGCAGAGGGGAGAAGAGGAGGAATTCAGTACAGATGTTCCTAATTGCTTTTATGATTTTCAAAAATTAGTTCAAGAGGTAAAAACAAAACAGAAGTTACTTATGATCTGATTGTACCTATAAGATATTCAGGAAGAAGCAAAACTCTGAAAACAAAAGAAAGGTTACATGGGAATAAGAGAAGGGAAGAGAAGGAAAGGAGGGGCAGAATACAGAAGATTTTTAGAATAGGTAATATCCTATGATACACCATACATGTCAATATACACTTATCCAAACCCATGGAACACACACCCTTAAGAGGAAAGCTGAATGGAGACTAGGAACCAAATGATAATGATGTATACATGAAGGATCATCTTTGCAGTGAATGTAAGATTCCAGAGGGGAAACCCTAATGGACTGTTGCCAATGTGCAGGAAGAGGAGAATACAGAAAATCTCTCTCAATTTTGTTATGGATTTAAAAGCTTCTCATTAAAAACTTTTGAAAAATCAGACAACTTATTTGCATAAGAAAGTTTTATAAATGCTATTACCTGATATTCATGATAAAATAAACAAACCAACAGACACATAAAAAATAATGGAAACTGATGGATAAATGGATAAACTGCAAAGAAAAAATACATATAAGACTTCCTTAAAAATTTTATTAGTACAGAGACCCAGTCCT